AAACACGTTTGTTCTCAAGACACTCCCTTTCATTACGCTCTTCAATGGAAACATGTAATTATCTGGGCGATACTATTCGTGTTGCGACAATTGTTTTCGTTTCAGAGTATCTTAGATAGTGTCTGTAACCCAGCAGAAGGTGTTTGCTATACAGATTGATTTATACAAAGCCACATATGTTTTTTTTATTATCATTACTTGTTCAATGGTTCTATATGCTTTGACAAGTATCTCTGCTTTATGTATATGGATACACTTATGATATTTTCCTTAGAAGTCACTTTAACTGCAACTTTCAGAACTACCTTCAATCAAGTACCGATTTATTAGAACTGGTTTCAACGTTTAGTTCTTTTGTTTTACGACCTATATCAGAGCTCTAAACCATTATAAACTTCTCATCAACATCTTTTATTTATTAACCTTCAGCTACGTTTGTTAATATCGTACAGTTAAGTTGTTGGATCGAACAACATCGAGTTCAAACTGGATCTTAATAAAACTTTTAGAATTATAAAACATTTCTCGAAAAACAACAACAATAAGCTTAACTTTGTCTAACGTTTCGATATTATTTATGTTGGTGATGTTCTTCTGGAGATATTTGAACCAATTTTAATTAAAAACCTAAAAAAGAAGACAAATGCTTTCCTTCATCTCCTCCCATGTTTTCTGTTTTAGACCCAAAATCTGACAGAAGAGGAAGGAACAAAGAATTATTCTGATAAAAACACAATTTTACAAGGACGCCTTTAATCTGACAAAAATATACAACTATAATTTTCGGAGAAGTAATTTGAACAGTGTGAACTATATAAAAGATTGACTCCTAAATATAACTTAAAAGTGACGCACAAACAGATTAACTCCTAAGTATGATCTGACAATAGCAAACAAACGGATTGACTCCTAATGTAATATGACAATAAAATAGAAACAGCCTGATTGACCCCTAATGTGTTCTGACAATACAACAAACAGATTAATTTCTGAGGATAAATTGACAACAACGTACAAAGAGATTGGATACTAACTATAATATGACAATATTACACAAGCAGATTAATATAATCTGACAGTAACGCATAAACAGATTGACTCCTAAGTATAACTTGATAATAAAGTACAAACAGATTACTTCTAAGTAAAATCTCATAGTAATGCATACACAAATTGATTCGTAAGCCTAATCCGACAATAATACGAAAATATATTAACACAAACACTAAAATAATCTGAAAAAAAAGCGCAAACAATCTTTCAAGAACGCACAGTAGATGACAAGAAAAGACAAGTTTGTCTAGAGCACATGAAGCATAACGAAGAGATACAAATATGCCAAGAATGCACGAAACAAAGCCATAGATACGAAACATAACAATAATACACAAACCTTACAAGGTCACACACAAAAAATAAAACACAAAACATAACGATGAGAAACAAATACGCCAAGAACGCACGAACATAACGTGAGGATACAAAGATGACAAGGACGTAGGAAAAACAAGAAACCACAATAACACAACGTGAAGAGACAAGCATGCCAAGGACAAACTAAACAAAACACACATAATATCTGACACTATTGTAAGAATAATTTGAAAAGAAGACAAGAAACATTGTAAAAATAAAGTAACGTAATCCAGACATTTTTTTGTGTGTGTGTGAGATTTAAATTTGGAATCAGATACTTCAAAAGAAATCAATGGGAATTTCTATCAAGCTCTGTGCATCATATGTTGGACATGTGTTGAGAACTGTTATTCTTGTAAAGATGAAAAAAAGCAATGTCCTGAAAACAGTGTAAGTAGCGCTGTAAGAAAATTAGTTGTTTCTATTCGTATAAATCATACATGGTTATTCCAAAAGTACGTCAATACTTTCTGGTAAAACTTTATTCTCAACAAAGTTGTTCTAAGATTACATTTGTATTTTTTGATAAATTGCAGTGTCAACAGAATTACTTAAACATTACATTACATTCATTTTCTCATAAAAATTGAAGTTCACCAGAGCTGTAACTATATTACATTTTGTACATTTTAAAATAAATTTCACTTCAATGAATTTATTTCTAAATTACATCAGTGATTACCGTAAAAATTCAATCTTAATAGGGTTATTTCAACATTTCATTTATACCTTCCTGATGATCATTCGTCCTCTAGAGAGTTATTTCTATATAACATCTCTACTTTCTTGATGATCATTCGTTCTCAAGAGAGTGGTTTATATATAACATATCTACTTTCAAGACGACCATTCGTTCTCTACAGAGTTTTTTTTTATATCACATCTCTACTTCCCTGGTGATCTTTCGTTTTGAAGAGAGTTGTTTCAATATAAGATCTGTACTTTCCTAATAATCATTCATACTCAAGATAGTTGTTTCGATATAATATTTCTACGTTCCTGATAATCTTTCGTTTTCTAGAGAGCTGTTTCTATATAACATCTCATTTTCTAATGGTCATTCGTTCTATAGAGAGCAGTTTTTATATAACATCTTTAGTTCCCTGATGATCATTTGTTCTCTAGAGAGTTAATTCAATATAATATCTGCTGTCCTGAATATCTTTCCTTCTCTAGAAAGTTGTTTGTATATAACATCTCTACTTTGCTGATGATCTATCGTTCTCGAGAGTTTTTTCTATATAACATCTACTTTGCTGATGATCTATCGTTCTCGAGAGTTTTTTCTATATAACATCTACTTTGCTGATGATCTATCGTTCTCGAGAGTTTTTTCTATATAACATCTACTTTCCTGATTATCATTCGTTTTCTGGAGCGTTGCTTCTGTATAACATTTAATTTCCAGGTGATCATCAGTTTTGAAGAGAGTTGTTTTTGTATAACATCTAATTTCCTGATGACCTTTCGGTGTTTAGAGAGCTGTTTCTACATAACATCTACTTTCCCGATGATCATTCGTTCTCAGGAGAATTGTTTCTATATAGCCACTACTTTCATGATTATCTTTCGTTTTCTAGACAGTTGTTTCTATATAACATCTACCTTCCTGATGATCATTTGTTCTATAGAGAGTTGTTTCTGTATAACATCTCTACATTCCTGATGATCATTCGTTCTCTATAGAGTTTTTTTCTATATAATATCTACTGATATTTCGTTCTCTAGAGAGTTGTTTCTATATAACATGTCTATTTTCCTGATGACATTTCGTTCATTAGGGATTTCTTTCTATATAACATCTATTTTCCTGATGATCATTTCTTCTCTGGAGAGTTGTCTCTATATAACAACTAATTTTCTGATGATCATTCGTTCTGAAGACAGTTGTTTCTTTATATCATATCTAATTTCCTGGTGATCCTTTGTTCTCTAGAGAATTGTTTCTATATAACATCTCTACTTTCCTGGTGATCCTTTGTTCTGTAGAGAATTGTTTGTATATAACATCTCTAATTTCCTGATGATCATTCATTCTCTAGAGACTTTGTCTGTATAACATCTACTTTTGTTATGGTCTTTCATTCTCCAGAGAATTGTTTCTGTATAACACTCTGCTTTCCTAACGATCATTTGTTCTGTAGAGAGTTGTTTGTATATAACTTCCCTATATTCCTGATCATCATTCATTCTCTACGAGTTTTTATGTATAACATCTACTTTTCTTATCATCTTTCGTTGTCTAGAAAGCTGCTTCTATATAATATCTCTACTTCCCTGATGATCATTCATTCTCTAGGGAGTTTTCTGTATAACATCTACTTTCCTGATGATCTTTCGTTTTCTAAAGAGTTGTTTCTAAATAACTCCTGTACTTTCCTGATGATCATTCGTTCTCTAGAGAGTTATTTCTATATAACATGTTTATTTTTCTGATGATCATTTGTTCTCCAGGGAGTTGTTTCTATATATAAAATATACTTTCCTGATGATCATTCGTTCTCTAGAGAGCTGTTTCTATATAACATCTCTACTTTCCTCATAATCGTTCGTACTCTAGAGAGTTGTTTCTAAATAACTTCTGTACTTTCCTGATGATCATTTGTTCTTTAGAGAGTTGTGTCTATACAACGTCTCTACTTTCCTGATGATCATTCGTTCTCTAGAGAGTTGTTTCTAAATAACTTCTGTACTTTCCTGATGATCATTCGTTCTCTAGTGAGTTTTTTCTGTATAACATCTACTTTCCTGATGATCATTCGCTCTCTAGTGAGTTGTTTCTAAATAACATCTCTACTTTCCTGATGATCATTTGTTCTTTAGAAAGTAGTGTCTATAAAGATCTGTGTGCTTTCCTCAGGAAAGCATACAGATCCTTATAAACACAACTATCTAATGAACGAATGATAAAGTTTATCATTCGTTCATTAGATAGTTGTGTATATAAAGATCTATATGCTTCCCTGTTGATAATTCGTTATTTATATTACTGTTTCTATAGCACCCCGAGATTTACTAACCACTTTTCATTGATTTTTGTTTCCAAATAATCTAAATGCTTGTAAGTATTTGAGTATTTAAAAGACTGAATAGAACTATTACTATTGGCTAATTTTAACAAAGTAATATCTGTTTTTGACAGCCTGACTGTTTCTAAGTGTTTGAGATACATAAAAGTATTTCTGTTGGTTAATTTTGACGAAGTAACAGCGTTATTGGAAAGCATAAATAAAGCATTTTCTGACATATTTAATCAATTTTGTCATCAGTTGTTAACATTTTTTGAAGCCTTAACACTTTATTTCTTCTCCCGATAAAATTTAATATTTCTGGAATAATAATAATAATGTTGGCGTGAAAAAAAATATAAAGTCTAAAACGTCCAAGTTACTTGACCAACTAACTAATTAAGGTTACTTATTTCTAAGATTTGTTATGGTGATTGAAATCATATGACATAGTATTACCATTTGGACACATATTGACGTAAACAAGCACTGCTATCATGATTAATGTCATTTCAACACGTTATAATATTTATAGTAGGCCTAAACAGAAAAAAAAAAGAGTAGAAATTTACTTACAGCAATAGTATCCAAGCCAGTAGATAAGGGTGATAACGGTGAACATTGTGAATGTTTTAAAGACCACGAAACTCGTACCACATGTTGTAGATCCGAATATTTCGGGTTGGCTAAGAAAGTGAAGCTCAGTCTTGCGTATGTATATGCAACTAATCCATTACCAGCCTACTTCGATGAAAAGGTTCACGTTGCTATTGAGCTAGCATATGTTAGTGAACTCGACAATACCGTTGCACAGTACAGAAATGCAACAACACACACGGGATATAATATGTATGTAAATTGTTGGAACTATTTCTTCTGGTATCTCGCACTTTATGTAAGTGTCCAACTCGATGTCTTACTGACTTTCAGATGAGAGGGAGGATTTTAAAGTCGTCCTACGACTATACGACCGTCAACTTCTTCTAAACGGTGATTGACTTTTAGAAACCCTAGTGCCTAAGGCAGTGGTTTCTAAAGCTACACGATGAATTATTGGTTTTTAAGTACTTTAGTGCTTGCATCATCTCAGCTCGATCCCGGGTAGAAACTAGATTTCTCGTTCACTCTCTCACAGTGTGGACCAGCAGACGAACTTCAGATCGTGCCTCCCGCAGTAGCACCCTCCAAACCTGCTGCTCTGCCGTAGTACTCGAGTTCATCACGTGACACACGCCCGCCTCCAGCTCACTGAGCGACAGGTTGCAGAGATTAAGCCTGATCACTCTTCTTCTTAGCGTCTCTCACTTCGCTGACCACTAGGCTGTAGGTCTTATTAAATCACCCTTTCTGCCAGAGGACGTAGTGTCAGCAAAAGAAAGAAAAAACAGTGGAGGGTAACTATTGGTCATGCCTCACTGGGTAAATCAAAAGATATCTCCCGTTCTTCTTTTTGTGAAGAATTAGTTAGCAGGTAATCCAATGGGTGTTGAGCTAACTGTAAATCAGTATCTCACTTTCCATCCAACAGCTACAACTTTAACAAACAGTACGTGTGATGTTAAGCTTGACTTATCTCAAGTATCTCGCCCTCTCACCAACCTGTGTTCTGTTTAACGCGTTTCCACCATTAAAATAAGTCTCCGCTTTTGTTCAGATACATTATAAATTCTTCTTCAAAATATTTTTAAACACATTATTAATAAGCTCTGACTACGAATAATCACAAACACGTGTTAGGATGTTTACGTTTAAAATGCATTAGTATGTAACTAATAATACTTAATTTCATTTTGGCTAGATTGATACCGATTGCAATTTAACCTGCGAATAATATGTAATTCCTTGAATTTTCACGATTACACCTCCCGCACAAAATAAATAAAAAAGAATATAACAATTACAACTGATACAACTCCAACATCTATCCAAAGTTTACATTTTCAAACAAGGAATCAATCAACCATGATGTCCTTCCCAATTCTGAGGGTCAAACACTCTGGTTTCCCATTGTTCTCTATTCATTGCTACCTGCACCAACTTTCCTAATTCAAACTTGTCATCTCTAATCTATTTTCTAGCGTCACCAAGACAAGCGAGTTTCTTCCCGCTTCCCCCTTTTTATTCATTCGATTCTACCCATTCCAATCTCTTCCAATCATCCCTCAAATATAATCATACGACCAAATAACGCATCTTCTGTTTATACAAAGAATGAACCATATTAATTAATTAAAGATTTAAGCTATAATTAAGTTAAATGAATTGTATTTACTTGGTGATTTTAATAGATTCACAGCATGCATGAACAAACATTGTAACCCATTCAACAGCTTTAAGCCGCATATTATTTCATAACTCAATAAATGTTTCGTTGTTGTAAGAGCCCTGCTTTGCACTGTAGAAAGTATTTGGACGGACCCCCGGTATAGGAGCTTTTCTGTATGGTTTCTTTGATTGTCTGTATCGTATAAGTTTGAAGAAAGGAGCATATTACAGTGTTTGTTTTGACTAATTTTTTTTACCTTTTTGTTTGTTCGTTCACAAAACAAATTCTTGTAAATAATTTTGCGAAATCACTTACAAGCTTACAGTGCAGCCCCCTCAAAAAAATGCATAGTTTCATTTAACCATTACATGACTTTGCAAAACTACACACTATATATATATATACGCAACGTCCATTTTATTGCAAATTGTTAAAAATAATGGCTTTTCATACTTGAAACTGGTGACGAAATAATAAAAACCATTACTTATACAGTTAAAATATCACTTTGTTATTCAGTTTCTGTTATGTCTGTGGTTTGTAAGTTTTATTCGATTGCCATCAGTAAAAAAAACAGTAGCTTAGTGGCTAAAGATAAAACTTTATAAATGTAAAGGTCCTATGTTGCCCTGGATATTTATTGTGGTTTTTAGTATGATGTTTCTCCTTGGAGGAATTTTGTCTTCAAACACGATACTAATAGGAATAGGCCTATTTCTCAAAAGAGCCGTTGCTTGAGTCTTCTGAGCTTCCTACATGATACCTTGTAATCACGTGTCGTCTGTAGATTGGGCTATTATTTCATATAGCAGCCACAGCTGACGTTATTTCTTGGGTCTCCTACAACGCGTTAAACAGCTTTTAAACAACCAGAACATTGTACGTATGTTTGTAGCGCAGCCGTCAGCTGCAGCGGAAACTGCCTGCTGTGTCTGCCTCTATCTTGACCTCGAAAGAAAATTGAAGAACCGCATTATCGTTGAACACTGGCTGTACGTACGTAATTGAGTCCCAAGAAGAACGTAAAAAAACAACAACAACAAAAATACGTACATGGTCGCCTTCTTAATGTGGTAACCCAATCTGACGCTGTTAATGTGGACTATAAAGATGGGTGCCTCCTAAACAAAGAGTATAGATTAGAAGTGAAATATTCGGAAAAGAGAAGAAACAGTTAATTTAGACCTACGAAATAAAACATGAAAAAGGAATAGAAATTAACTACATCAATGCAGAAAAATAAAGTAAGTTGAGCTGAAGTTACAAAGTAGCGACAACAAAATGTAAAGTGAGAATAAAAGAAATGCGGTAGATATAGAGTTAATAAATGTAAAAAAAAATCAGAAATGAGACACATCGGAAGGAGAAACAAGACAACAGTTATCTCAGTGAAAGAGAAACGAATGCATAAATAAATAAATAGAAATAATATTGTAGCTATTGCGAAATATAATGGCAGAGACAGAGAATAAAATCGGCGGAAAACAAGATGTAGGCAAAAGAAGATAAATAAAATTATCAAAATTATCAATTAATCGATAAGCACCAAATAAAATGATTTAGGAAGATGAACGCAATAAACTTTGAAAATGGTGCAATCTTACTAGGCCCCTGAGATATATTGTACAATCTTACTAGGCCCTGAGATATATTGTACAATCTTACTAGGCCCATAAGATATATTGTACAATCTTACTAGGCCCCTGAGATATATTGTACAATCTTATTAGGCCCATAAGATAAATGGTACAATCTTAATAGGCCCCTGAGATAAATGGTACAATTTTACTAGGCCCCCGAGATAAATGGTACAATTTTACTAGGCCCCCGAGATAAATGGTACAATTTTACTATGCCCCCGAGATAAATGGTACAATTTTACTAGGCCTCTGAGATAAATGGTACAATTTTACTAGTCCCCTAGGATAAATGGTACAATCTTACTAGTCCCCTAGGATAAATGGTACAATCTAACTAGTCCCCTAGGATAAATGGTACAATCTTACTAGGCCCCTGTGATAAATGGAGTAATGGCAATCTTACTAGGCTCCTGAAATAAATATCAGGTTTCTGGCTTCTTTCACTACTTTGGTTAAGTGAAACACCTCAACATAAATAAAGGTTGTGCGGGATAAGAGAGAGAGGTCGGGTTGCCTCGGTATTAATTACGTGTAGCGAAATGTTACTTAGAGCGACTTCTCTTAATGGAGAAGGAAGGACTGAGTGAGGACGGAAAATGATACGTTGATTGGTAGTATGAGTATATTACTAGTTTACTTATATAAAATAGCACTGATAATGTATTAAATGTTGTTGTTGTTGTTTTCTTAAATGAATGCCCTTTGGAGCTACTACATATTTAAAAAACAACTATCATAACAAAGATGAGTGATAACCATGGTAGCAAAAGTGGGGGGAATGTGGTAGCTATACAGATATTGGTTGTTGTTGTCTTGAAGTTAAGCACAAAGCTACACAGTGGGCTATCTATGCTCTGCCCACCTCGGGTATTGAAACCCGGTTTCTAGCGTTGTAAGTCCGCAGACATTCCGCTGTGCCACTGGAGGGCACAAATATTGGAGGACAGTAATGATAATATAGTGAAAGATAGTCGTGGTAACGAAATCAAGAGGAAACCATGAGAGCTATTGTGTAAGTATGATAATGATAACATGGTTAAGTGATAACCATGGTAGCGAAATGAAGAGGAAACTACGATAAAAACTGTGGAAAGTAATGAAAGTTAAACCACCTTCATTATACAAACTCTGTGATTTGATTATTTGTCCAAAACCGATAACCGGATAAACAAATTACCTAATGCTATCTATTTACAGTAGACAGTGGCTGTGTGATATAGATATACTGCCAGTCAGCCAGTTAAATAGATAGACGGACTTATGTAGAGACAGGTAAATATTACAATTATATTACTTATATTGACACTCAAGCTTTGGTGTATGTCATACCTATTCAATATATATATAATGGTGTACCTTAAAATAGTGTACATCTCATAAAGAGATATAAAGGTTAATTTGTTATTTCTAAATCAAAACGTTTAAACAATTACAAGCATAACAAAGCAATACAATCCTTACACCTATCTCTTAAAAAATACAAAGAAGTGGAGTTACCATTTATCTTGATTTAAGGCAGGGGGGCTTGTTTCCTTAACTAACCAAAACCTAACACATTCAGCAACTAATTGTGGAGTCTTAATTTACCTTAGTTAAAGTTTAACTGATCAGATGGGGGGACTTGTTTCCATTAATAACCAAAACCTAACACATTCAGCAACTAATTGTGGAGTCTTAATTTACCTTAGTTAAAGTTTAACTGATCAGATGGGGGGACTTGTTTCCATTAATAACCAAAACCTAACACTTTCAACAACTAATTATGGAGTCTTAATTTATCTTAGTTAAAATTTAACTGATCAGATGGGGAGGGGGCTTGTTTCCATAACTAACCAAAACCTAACACATTCAACAACTAATTATGGAGTCTTAATTTATCTTAGTTAAAGTTTAACTTACAAGACGGTGGACTTGTTTCCATTAATAACCAAAACCTAACACATTCAACAACTAATTATGGAGTCTTAATTTATCTTAGTTAAAGTTTAACTTACAAGACGGTGGACTTGTTTCCATTAATAACCAAAACCTAACACATTCAACAACTAATTATGGAGTCTTAATTTATCTTAGTTAAAGTTTAACTTACAGAACGGTGGATTTGTTTCCATTACTAACCACAACCTACAGATTGCTGTGAATGAAAATCATGTCATGCAAACAGTTGTGTCCTACTCTGTTTAAGGCGAGTACTAAATGTGCCAGGACAAAAAAACAACAACTTTAACTTAAACGATATTACGGTGCTGAATA